CGTAAAAAGAAAGCCATCAAAAACGAAAAGCAATCAATTCTATTCCATCAAATTAGTTCCAGATAAGCCGCTCACACCAGCTCAAACTTTAAGGTCTAAGCAATTTCTATCTGAACTAGCGAACTAGCTGCCGAAATAACAAAAGAAAAATGCAAGCAACTTAAACTGTTATATCTGTAAATCCACGTGCATCTGCAGATTTCAGTGAACGTTCCAGAACTTGAGCATAGCCGCAGGATAGATTTTACTGGCAGTGCCTGGTTGTGGAGGCACGCAAGCATGAACATCCACACGCACACAGACATACATACCTTGATCGGCGACGGTGCGGGAGTCGTCGCTAAAGGTCGGGCCGGCCAGGAGCAGAGCCGCAGCGCAGACGGCGAGCCCCAGCCGCGGAAACATTTGGGCGAGCTCAGCTGTGCGTCCCGGCCGCGAGCTCATAAAGGTGAAAGGTCATGGATACTGGTGAATGGCAGAGGTCGGGGGTCATATCTCAATCAGCAGAGACATGTCAGGACGATGGACAGGCCTGCTACGAAAAGGTGGACATATAAGGTCAAAGGTGACACAGATCGAGAGCCCGGCACCTCAGGGAGCGAGCCGTGCCATTCTTCCAGGCTGTTCTCCACCCGGGGAATGCTTCACTTTGTGCTTGATCGATTCGTGCAACTGTTTTCCGTCCTTCTAGACACCATTGCGAGGGGTTTGTCGTCACAGTTCAAACAGATCACAACCGTCAGCTGTGTCCATCGCACACTGTCCATCGCAATCGCCCGCACGATCAAAGTCGTCCACTCGCCACCTCTTACTCACTTCAACCTAAACCCTCGCTGACTTCAGTCTGATCCCAGCGCGACCTCAGGTGACCCCGGCATGGCCTCAGGTGACTCGCCGGTGGCTGCGAGCTGCCGCGGCCCGGCCTGCCGACGGCCCACCGAGCACGCACCCCTGTCGGTGTCAGCCGCCGACGGTCGGCCACCAGACTGCCCGTCGCCGTCGCCGCCGACGCCAGCGTGGGAGCGGTGAGAAGCCGATTGTGCGCACGGCGGCGGCGGCGCGGATTCCTGCCGCTCCGACACCGGGCACGACCGGCCATGGAAGAGGAACCCGCGGAACCGGAATCGATGTGAACGAGTGGGTGGGACCAGCAGAGAAGCCGCACATGGAATATTGAATACGTGGATTTCATTCACGCTGTCGGCTTGTGAAGCCGGCAATGGAACGTATATACCCAAGGCCGTATGAGAGCGTATACCTATGTAGTACAATGTAAATATTGGTGATGTAATGAAGATAATGGGCAACTCACCGAATTCTGAATAATGAAAATCTGCATTTGAAGTTCGCACAGAAGAAAACACCTGGCATCAAACGATGCATGCAGGAGCTAGCAAGCACTACTTTTGCCATGGGCTGCTCGATTAGAAACTATGCTCCAAAGTGTAATCTCAGGTCGGCAGGAGATTCAAAACATAACAGAGCGCTGCTGAATGCACCACAAGATATATCATTTAGACCTCTTTCCAAGTCACTTTCATGCTGCTTGCACAAAATTGTATAGGGACACACGCAGACATAAATAAGTCCTTACATACACAGGTTACGTGCGCCCCTCAGTTGGTAATCATAGCTCCGTGACGCGTGACCGACTCTATTCGGCATTCGCACCTTTGGCATGTAACCGGCACACGCCAGTCGCCCAGTGCCGTGCGTGAGTGTGGTGCTGTGTGATTGTGTCACTTACTGTGGTGTGAGCCATAGCACAGAGGTCGAGGACGCGAGGCACAGTGCGTGATAGAGCACACAATCAGTCAATCAAATAGAGCGTGACGTCAGCATTCTTCGTGACACGATATCACGTTGAGGTGAGAATGAAAAACAAAACAAAAAATATGCTTGCTCCAATGGTTGCAGCTTGCAATCAGCAGCGTACCAGAAAATTTAGGTAACTATATGGGTTTTGTCCTTTTCGTCGAACTAGGATAGAAAAGTAGCTTCATCATCATCAACAGTCTGAAGTGGTAGAACAGCTCCAACATTGATATACATATGAATAACGGTCTCGTTATTGCACGTCAAAACTTCCTTTCGCAGTGGCAGATGTTTCAATTACTGAACCAAATGCCACACTCACCGAATAATGAATGACATTAATTTGGAAATCGTTGTCCCTGGAATCGATAAATAAACCGAGGCTGTATTCGAGAGCAAAAGCAATTTATGATCGAGAACGCATCACAGGAGATGAAAGCTGCGCCCAAGTGTTGATTACTGTGAAGGTAAATAAGGCCCCGCGAGTTGTGTGAGGAGTAAATATTGAATTAAGTCTCCCGTCAGTTTCAGTCTGTCAACTCTCTTCAAGCCCCGTTAGGCGGCACGGGCGGACATCGATAGCAGCGCCTCTATCGGTCACTAGGGAAAGCTGGGCTGTAGGCGACGAAATACCGGCTGAGTTGTCACACGTTGAATAGGTTTATAGACATCCGTCTTGTGAAAAAGTTGAACTTTTGCCTTCAATATTTCTACAGGCAATTTTAGAAGTGTCTTCACATAGATTACAACACCGTTTAGATTATTGTATTCACTTCAAGCCTTCCCTATTGTTCTTGATGATGCGGGAACTATTTCTAATTAGTGTTTCTAGATTAATAAAAGAACATATTGTGCAAACGATGAAAAAACATAGATGGAAGATTTTAAGTGCAATTTTCTCTAGCAATTAATGGTAAATTCTCTACAGATCAAGGAAAAGATGCATGCTAACTGATAATTTAAAGTTCTTGGGGCCAGTTGTTTTCTTCTTTTCTTACGTCGCCCCAATGGCCGCGAATACACTTGTGATAACGCCTATCGCGTAAAGCTCGATAGTAGACACGATAGTATATTTGATTAATTCTTGCACAAATCAAACTGCAGTGAAATACTCATGAGTTAAATGTCGGCAAAGTTTTGGTGCATTTATTACCTGTGGATTAATCAATTTATCAGATGTTATTTATTCATTAGCATGAGCAACCAGGTTTTGGGCCAATGTCAACCATGTTTCAATGTCAAATACGGTTTGTCAACTATCAATGTTTTCAACAAATGCCCCCTTAAACAAACAACAGCAGGTACGCCTCGTAACACCTGTTCAAAAGAGTCCGACCGCTTAGCTGTTCGCTAACAACTCACACCGTATTCTCGCTCGGTGTCTCCGTCTCTCCTGTGCCGGCGTCCCGAGGGAGGGTGACCCCTGACCCCAACCTCCCGCCTCTGGTGACACCCGGCTGCCGGGGCGGTGATAAGGCGGCCCGCCGGAGGAGCGAGCGGCCCTATCTCTGAGACAGCCAGGAGGACACGACGGCCGCCGATGGAGACAGCCGGGTCCGGGGGAGAGTGAGAGGTGACCATTCAGACAGGCTGGAGCGGCGGTACTGAGTAGTGTTCTCTTCTGTTTAGAAATAGATTGCGGAAGTTTGTTTTTGAGGGGATGATTTACTTGAGGAGAGACGTAAGACCAACTAGAAACACAATGCGTGAAGTCTACAATATTCTTCATATGTTTTGTGTGATGCCTTTGTTGCAAACGTCTTTTCCACTATTGTATATGAATAAGACCTTGGTCCATATATGGAAATCCAGGTTTGTTTCTTCATAACGCCAGCGGACTCTCTCCGAGCGAAGGCGTCGTCTCTGCGAGGTAGACTGCACCGCACAGCACGTCATACTGTGCCGCACTACACCAACAGCCGCGGCCACTCCACGGCTGAGTTTGGGAGAGTCTAGGACGGCTCTCGCTGAAACCAAGGCCCAAAATTTACAACTTATTGTCATTGACGATGAATAACTATGAGGGTTACTTACAGGCTACGAATGATCTAATAATAGCTGAAAAACAGCATTGTGACATAAGATAGAAAATACTATAGATAGTCCGAAAGAATCATGCAACAAAAGGGCGATCTAGGACTTAATAGGCAGAACAGAACAAGGGTGAAGGGTAATGGCAGAGCACTATATCATTGCGTCGTTTTTGTCCACAGATTTAGCATGAATATTCCAGCTTGCTGATCTGCAGCAATTCGTTGCAGAAAGCTTGCTCTGAATTGGGGCTGTCAGATTTTGTTTTATTGGTCTTTGATGGAAGCGCAAAATATCTTCATATCAAAATTACAAAATATTATTTGCCAAAAGACGGTGGCCTTAACCAAAGCTCTGGTCAAATTCCTAACCAAAAAGTAAAAGCTGCCTTCCCCGTCAGCCATGTTAGCTCGCCGCCGAATTTTCTGAGGCCATCTCTAGTCTCCACCACGCGGGGAGGCGCCGCTTTGCGGGCACGGCATACATCTCTAACCGGCGCCCTGGCCACGGAGCGGCGACCCAGCGCAGGCGGAAAACACATTCAGAATTCTAACGCCGCATCTGTCGGATGGCGGATTTGAAAGCGATCTAGCGCGTGCGGATAGCCGGCTAGAGCGGTAAATCAAACGAATTAGCCTGTTATCTGCGAGATGGGGGCGGTACGAGACGGGATGGGGAGGGGTGGAGAAGGGGGAGGGTGAACAATCTGAGAGACAAACGGGGACACTGAGGCTGGGCAAAATGGAAAATGGCTATACATGGGGAGCTCGGAGCCTGCATACACAAATTGAAATGGTCGTGAAATCCCGCTTTGTTTGCCTAGGTTTTATACTTTCGTTTGTAAGACAATAATGCACATTTCGCCGATAATGTGACTATTTTCCTTTTTATCCAGCTAAGAGCTCATATTTTTTTGTAGTGACACACATCCGGCTCCATAGAAAAAGTTATCAACAAAATGGAAGTTTCATGCCTCGCAGTCGAGACTATCACGGTGATAGTCACGACTGTGAGGCATGACACTCTCATATCACCACTACCTTCGATATGTAGCCCATAGCCTTGATGTAGTAGCCACCCTCAATCGAATATGCAGTCATCAGTCGTCACGCTCACATAGTTGAGCCTGAGATCGTCATCGCTGTGAGAGTTACCTCTTGGCGCACTACACATCGAGTGCTGCAACTGACAACGAGAAATGTCAATGAGTCAGTGCTGGCCAAAGCTCCTCGGCCAGGGTCTGCGGTACGGAACTTTTCCAATACGGTAACTTTCGAGATTCTTGTGTAACTTGCCCGAATCATAATCGCTCGCCGCACACATCCCTCGGCGTTGCTCTGTGACCAGAGCTATCCCGCAATTTGCGGCTCGGGGCCCGCAAGATTCTGGCCGGCACTTGGTGGTGCTGTTGGAATCGACTGTGACGTGAAGTCTAGTGATGCGTTCATAAATAATATTCCAATCTGTATAGCCAGAAGCAGGCGGCCGGGACCCATGTTGTGTATGATGCTGGAGCGAGCCTCAGAGCCGATCAAGGTATAGCTGGTGGCAGCCATTGAGCTCACCATAAGGCTCACCACAAGAAACACTGCTGCCAGTGCCGAGCTGAAGGCAGACCGGTCGCGCATGTCTGCCTGGATATTGGGCTGCACGCCGCCAGAGCTGAAGCAGTTGGTGACGCCGCTCATGCCGACCAGCATCCGCAGGGGTGAGGGAGGGATGCGTGGAGGAGGCGTCGGGCGGTGACAGAAGTCGGCGCAGAGCTTCATCAGCAGTAGCACCCAGGAGGCCATCGAGGTGGACAGACCCAGCACCGCTACCATCCAGAAGTTTTTCGGCGACTCGAACCACGTGAAGGGGCAGAGGAAGGCGGCCATGAGCAGGATCAGGACGCAGACGGTGGGCTGGGCCAACTGCTTCAGCTCCGGCGGCGTGCAGCCCACCATCCAGGCAGACATGCGAGACCGGTCTGCCTTCAGCTCCGCACTGGCAGCAGTGTTTCTTGTGGTGAGCCTTATGGTGAGCTCAATGGCTGCCACCAGCTATACCTTGATCGGCTCTGAGGCTCGCTCCAGCATCATACACAATATTCCAATCTACTCATCGCGCAAAAAAGTGCACTTAGCACTGAACGATGCAGTGTCTTCGACCACACCAGATGACTCGGTAGATTAAAACTGAATGACTGTTAACAATTTACACATAATCGTATGTCCGATGAACATTGAACATTGTCCTCATGAAGACTTCAACGCCTGGGTTATCATTGGCCCCATTCTGTCTAAGTCATGCGACATGTTTAGTTTTAAGTAGAAGATAAGTGGTTATTTTGTTACGTTTTCCTCCTAGCTAAAGACTAGTTTATCTTCATAACCTAATAAATATGCTGATTAAATCAGTAGCACAAATGTGTTGCAATGAGCGGTTGATACAGAACTTCTGTCATTTAGTGGACCAATCACAACCCATGAATCATGTTTTCATAACACACAAGCTAGCTATTAATCGCAGTGTATCCAGTTATTTTGCTCAGAGCTTTGAAGCCTGCCATTCTCCTCGCTAAAATAACGTGTTCTCGTTTTTTTTTTTTTTAAGTGTCAAACATGATGCATTTACTCTGAGCATAGGCCGACGTTCCATGCGATGGCCGAAATTTCCGTCCGGGATTGAGGAAGGACAAAGTCATACAACTCCCGTCTATAAAGGCAGCCGTTTGCGCCAGCAGCGTGCTTCATTTATACTTAAACTCGCATTAAACCCGGCGCCGTTGCTCATATCCGTGGTGAAACGGGCGTCTTATTGGCAATATGTCAGCGGTTTTCATAACGGAACGCAGTATTTATTTCGCCAGCAAACGGCACTGGAAAGACGAAATTGAAACACGCTATTACTATTGGCAATGCTGATTTCTGTATTCTAGAAAGCATACCTAGTATTTCTTTCTCATTGAAAGTAGAAACTATCACTTCAAGTGAATCATTGAATTATAATTGCATTATAAGGGATTTCCATGAGATGGGACAGGCAAAAAGAAAAAAGAATGTCTTAAAAGAGTGTCTTTCGGCGGAGAGTTATAAGCAATGTCCATTTCTTTCATGTTATGTTACACATTTTTAGACTTAAAGTGGAACACAATTGCTCTACCTAGTAGTTAACCCTATAATCTTTGTTATGCATTGAAAGCGCTAAGTGTTCCGATTATTATATTTCACATTAATCCTAAGGATTTGTTCACGATTTCCGATAACACTCGAAAGCCTCGATTACACTCGATAATACTCGATTGTCCTGCGGCCATGGTTGACATTTGTCATCTCGTTACGAGTGGTCCTTCCCGCACCGCGAATATATTCCTGAAGATAAGCGGCGCTTAGTCCTATACTGTAAGAGCTCCCGCCCGCTAACCCTTCCCGGTCGCTGTCTGCGCGTCTCCCCAAATGACCGGCACCGATCGGCCGACCGCTGACTGCCGGCGTTCCCACGCCGACCTGCGGTCATCGGTCAGCGTTGCCGCGGTCATCGGTCAGTGTCCTACCGCCAGCTTTGTGCTGCGTCCGCGGACCTCTGTCAACCCCGCTGTCACGCTGCGCCGGTGGTGGCGAGGAGCTACAGCGATGCGAATACGCGCAGACGTGATCGAATTTCGAGACAGGTCGTGATGCTGTTGCTGTCATATCTTTAGCGCATCGAGGTGAGTGTGAATGAAAGTTTCAGTTTGAGTTACAACAATTATATCCTTTAAATCATGTTACATCAATTGTAGCTTCAGGTCTCATCTGCTGCTGAAACAAGTCAGTGCTTCACACGTGAGCTGGGATGCCATTTGCCATTGTGGCATCTAAGATGATGTTGTATCACGCAAGATGACTTCCTCACAGCTTTGCAATATCTATATGCCGGCATTCACACGCAACACTGTGAATAAGAACAGCATGTTTGGCCGTCTCGCGCGTTACGAGAGACTCCTTATTCAGCACTGGTCTCTCCATTTCCCCGGGGCATCTCAACACTCATCGAAATACGCCGCCGTCGCGATGACGCCTGAATAAGTAAACAGCAACTCTTCAGGAAATTAGTGCTGACATCTGGCGGGATTTGTTTTGCCGCTACTTCCGCGGACGCCGTGCAGCGCTGCCGGTCATTAAACATTCACTGTCGCCTCGGCCGCTGCCGCTCGCTCCACCGGTTTTCAGACATCAAAGCCACGCGGGCATGTGCGCCGAGAACCTCCGTGCCCGCAGGCAGTCGCCGCGAGCGGTTTGACCGACGGAGAGTGCCTCAGGGCTGCCCACTTTCCCCGCAGAGAACGTTTACTGCCAGCGATGGACGATAGCGAACGAAGCAGTGGAGCGTCCGACTGCGATTTCTGCGGGGCTCGGCCTCTGTGGCAGCACCCGGTCACAATATCTCAGAGAAGTTTATGGGGTGCGAACATCTGCCGAGAACGTATGACGAAAATATGGCCGACGCCACGTCCGCTTGTTTACGAGCGGAGATTCGACGGAAAATATGCAGTCAAATGGTTCAGATTTGGGGCTTCGGACTCGTTTCTCTGGGCTGATGCTGAAATGCGTGGTATCTGGTAGGTCATCACTTCGCAGGTATGCGATTGGAGGCTTTTAAGATGGGTCAAAAGAAAGAACTAATGTATATTGCAGAGAACTCATGAAACTCTCTCTCTCTCTCTTTCTCTCTCTCTCTCACTCTCTCTCTCTCACTCTCACTCTCTCTCTCTCTCTCTCTCTCTCTCTCTCTCTCTCTCTCTCTCTCTCTCTCTCTCTCTCTCTCTCTCTCTCTCTCTCTCTCTCTCTCTCTCTCTCTCTCTCTCTTGCTCTCCTTTACTCTCTTTTGCTGTCTTTGGTTTGCTTTGCGCTAGTTCGGATATTTTCAGCATTTCTGCTTTGTATACAGCACCCGATAGCACCCCTTCAGCACATTCGCATTCTCCTATTCCCCAATGCGGTGCGCTGGTCACTAACAAGGCCGGGCGTGCCAATTTTCTTCTCTGACTGGGGCCGCGATAATGCAATGCAGCGCAAGGCGGCGAGCTAATCCGTCCGCAGCCAGCGCCTGATTATGGCTAATCACCAGTCGTTCCGGCCCGCCTCAGCCGCCCCCGCCCCCGCCCCCGCCCCAGCCGCCGGCAGCGGCAGGGGTGCGGTACAGCCGACGGGCCGGCAGCGTCGGCCGGCCGGTCGGTCTGTCAGTCAGCGACCGCCGCCGTTCCGTGGCCCCTCTCCTCCCCTCCATCGGCCCCGTCAGGCCCAGTCGGCGCGCCGAGGAGCCTTATTTCACGGCTGGTCGCCGCTCGAAGTGCACCTGATCCCTTTGTGGCAATCCTTTTGTTAGTGTGGCGGCTGCGTCGCTGGGCGTCGCTGATGTTCCGGAGGGTGCCGCGTGGTGAGGCGATGCGCCCGCTCTGACGACTTTGGGGCACCACGGCTTTATTGGCGTCTGGGGGGCGTGATAGCGGAGAGAGAAAGGATGCAGGTTGTTACTGATATACGCTTATGAAGGGTGATGATGCTCGTCTGCCAGAAAGAAGTGGTAGTGAGCGGTGTGAAATTAATAGACCAGGGCTAAACTGGAAAATCAAAATGATCGTAAAATGAAAGTAATAGAGCGAAAAATTAATTGGTTTGTGTTACGTTAGCGTAAGCGATTAAAGTCGAAGACAGGAAAGAAGCCAAGGACAGCAAGATCCTTGCCGCCAAATACGTTTTAAAGATAAATACAATGTTCGGTAAACAACATTTTCCTTGGACAAAGCGAAGATCGTTTGTTTCCAGGACATCTCGATGGTCTAAACATACGATTTTTTAGTCAGTCCAATGTTAAGTCCATTTTCAGTTACTACAAACACCAAAGCGCAGTGAATGCCGGGCGTCACCACGTCGCTTCCGGAGTGGTCCACGGTCTCACGGTCTTTCTGCCCTTCTCTCTCGCCCCCGGCGGGAAGCAGCAGCAATCGATCAGACAATGCATAGCAAGCAGGGAAGCCGGATTTTCTCGTGCTGTGCGAGCCCGCGCCGGTCCTGTCCGCGTGCGTGTGCGCGCGTGTGTGACCCACGCAGCCGTCGGTTTGAGGAGAGTGGCTGAGATTACGAGTCAGTTGGGGAATGGAGCACTCGCTTGCCAGCGCTAAAAGCCACCTGGATAGCAAAGAAGTGTTCCGTCGTGGGGCTAGACAGTGGGACACCAGATTTCTTTGCTCCCAAAATGCCTTTGGGCACTTGATTTGTGACTTAAAATTTCTTTGAAGTTTTTTTTTGGACTAACCGATCGCATTATGACGCGAAAGGCCATAAATTATGACCATATTTTGCACATAGTGAACGATTGTTCATTATGTTGTTCACTGTTGTTAATATGCATATAACATAATTCGTGTCTCTATGATAATGGTTTGCGTTTTCCTTTGGTTTCTAAATACATCGTAATGCCGTTTTATTCACATAAAAAGGAGATAGCAAAAGCTGTTTTTTTTTTCTTCTGCGCCTTCCTCTCCAATGCCCCCCCCCCCCACCATTATTGCTGATAAATGCATTCGATTTCGTATGCTTCGCCAAACGCTGTCAAACTCGAGCAGTTCGTTCATTAATCAGTCTTTTATGTGGTATCGGGTCTGGCGTCAAGTGCAGATGTGATGCCCCTCATGTTTTGACAGCAGCTGTTAATAACTTCTCCCAGTACCTATAGTTAGAGGTAGTTCGGCAAACATTTAACGGCAAGGTAATATTCGAATCAATTTTAAAGGAAAAGGGCCACCTTCGTGAAATATGAAGATATCGTTGTTTTTCATTTTGACATTATTATTTTTCATTTTCTTTTTAAAACTGGTGCCAGAAGTGCACAATTCGCGAAAAAGTATTTAAAACTATTTAACATATTGGTACTTTGTTGATACTCTCTACGGCACCTACTGTATGATGGCATAGCGATGACGTCACACTCAAGC